GATGAAAGTAGTAGCTTGTGCATATCTCTGAAGGTCACGAAATATAAACCTGATGTAAAATCTCTGTCATCAGTGATGCAGCAGCAAAAGTCCCACTGATAATATCAAACGGAGTCATAAAGTTTTCTGTCGGACTATCAGTGTACATGTATACATTAAAAAATAAATGTATTTTTCATCATCATATACTGTTTTTATTGCTCGAATGAATTTTATTATTTCTTCAAGGTTCTTCACATATGTACACCTTAAGAGATATCAAGTAGGCGTAACATGTTCTCAAAAAATTAGGGTTGGCACGAAGAAGAATTTTGAGTCAGAGATTTTGCTGGTTTTGGCACGCACTCACAAAAAGGTTGCCCACCCCTGGTCTAGTCTGTCCCTGGTTACTCCTATGCCAGGTGTCTTTTAGTTATCTGAATTGTGTTGTGCTCAAGGCTACAAGCTTCCTGCAAAATATCTCCCAGTACATAGGGTTCTTTGTAAAGCCTGTAAAAAGTCTGGAAGCCCCATATTTAGGAGACAAAGAAACCAGGAGGGTATAAAGGGAAAGCTTCCTCAATGTTGCAGGGCTCACACTTTGAGAGACAACTCCTATGAGACCGCTGGTGTAATAAAGACTCCAAATTTGGCTTACTAAGGCGTCCTCTGTTCAGCTCGCTGATTTCCAATATAATGTTTCTATACCCATTTTGAGGTGTGGTGGGGGTCTTTTTTTCATCATAAATGGATGTTGAATTTTGTCAAGTGCTTTTATGCCTCATTGAGATAATTATGAGTTTTATTCTTGGTTTGGTTGATGGGATGAATCACATTGTTTTGTGAATGTTGAACCACCCTTGCATCCCTGGTATAAATTCCATTTGATTATGGTGCATAATCCTTTTAATATGCTATTGAATTCAGTTTGCTAGTATTTTGCTGAGAATTTTGGTATCTATGTTCATCAGAAATATTGGCCTGTAATCCTTTTCTTGCAGTGTCCTTGTCTGGTTTTGGTATCAGAGTAATGTTGGCCATATAGAATGAGTTTGGAAGCATGCCTTCCTCAAGTTTTTGGAATAAAAATTGTTCAAGGATAGGTACTGATTTTTTTAATGTTTGGTAGAATTTCTCTGTGAAGCTGTCTGGTCCTGGGCTTTTGTTTGTTGAAGTTTGTTAAAACACTCCCAACTTCATATATAAAAAATTAATTTATCAATTCCATCTATGTTCTCCTCCATTTTTCTTTTGTTGCAAACATAGCCAAACTTGAAAATTGTAACATTTCCTCCTCTACCTCCACTTCCTTTGGCCATATTCCTCAATCCCCTGACATCTAGGGCTTCTGATCTCATTTGTCCAATGCAACTGACCCACCAAGATCATGAAGGCTCACTGTTGCCAAATCCAGTGGATAATCACGCCACTGCTCCTCAGCAGGCCACCTTTCCTCCCTGCTCCCCGGCTCTCACACTTCACTAGGTTTGTCCTGTCTGGCTCCTTTCCCTGCCCTTCTTGTGTTCTCCGCTTTCTTCAGCTCTTCTCATGTTACACACTTCCGGTGGATGATGTTACTCTCCTCTTACCTATACGTTAATGACCCCAAATCCCTGTCCTCAGTCACCACCTCTCATCCCCCAACCTCTACTTGCATAAACCATCTCAGGAAATGGCCCACCACCCACCGTTGCATAGTTGGAAAAATGGGGTGCACACTTGACTTGTCCTTCTCCCTCACCTACACAGCAAAACAATGCCCAATGCCCTAGCCAGTGGTTAGAGCATCAGCCCAAAGACCAACAGGTCGAAGGTTTGATTCTCAGTCAAGGGCATGTACCTGAGTTGCAGGTTTGATCCCTGCCCCGGTTGTAGCACATGCAGGAGGCAACCAATCAATGTATCTCTCTCACATCGATGTTTCTGTTTCTCTCTCCCCCCCACCCCCCTTCTACCCTAAAAATCAATGGGAAAAATATCCTCGGGTGAGGACTAACAACAACAAAACAAAAAACAACGCCCAAGACCTGTCAACCCTACCTCCTAAGTACCTATAAAACTACCGATTCCTCTTCTCTCCATCTGCCATGACCTCTGGTTCTGGTTTCTAGTCTTTTCCTGGGATTGCTGCAAAAGCTTCTGATCTCTCCCCTTTCCAAACCCGTCTCCACAATGCAACCAGAGTGATCTAAGCCTTGGATTCTAAGGCACAAATTTCTCCTTAGGTTTAAGGTTCTCCAGTGTTCCTCTGGATAAAGCCTGCATCTGTAGCATGGCTGGCAAGGGCTAGCAAGAGCTGGCCCAGCCTGCCCCTCCCACTCCACCTCCCCCAGCATCTCCATTGGGCCCTCTGCCCAGACACGCCGGACACGCTAGTGTGCCAGTCGTCCTGGGCTTGTTCCTGGACCTTTGCTGTCCCCTCTGGAATGCTCTTCCCCTCAATGCCCAGCTACCTCCAGCTCAGTCGTCAGCCTCAGCTTGCACCTGACTCACCAAAACTGGCGTGGCTGTCCGTTGGGTGGGTGTCCCCATAGCAATTCGTAAACACTGCCTTTTCCCAGCCATACAGACCTTGCACACACGTCTGGCTCCCAGCTCTGTCCTCGCTTCCCTCATCAGCATCCCAAGGCCCCTCCTTTATGAAGCCAGTGCTGCCCCCTAGGACCCTGCACCACCCTCCCCAGGGCACTTGTCCCACGGTGGAAGCTGTCTGCTTACTTGTGAGCTCCGTTAAGGACCGTTCTGCATCACACTTAGCAGCAAATGGCAGACAGAGACTGCTCGACAAATGTCCAGTGGGTGAGGGATCCCGGGGGGACGATCTGCCTACCTCACTAAGCGTGGCAGTTCAGTGCACACGTGGGAGTTCTTTTCTAATTTACAGAGCGCTATACAATTATAGCATTATTACACTATCATTACGAGTGTCTGGCTATTCCACTCCTTGAGGTCCATGCCTTATTCAAGTTTTTTGCCCCAGAACGTGACATGTCTGACATATATTGTTATCAACCATTTTTTTTATTGATTTCAGAGAGGAAGGGAGAGGGAAAGAGATAGAAACAATAATGAGAACCATTGATCAGCTGCCTCTTGCATGCTCCCAACTGGGGATCGAGCCAGTAACTCTTCAGTCCACAGGCCGATGCTCTATCCAGCTAGGGCTCAACCAATTTTTGTTGGTTGTATCAGTGATGATAAGAAACGAGGAACTACTCTGGACCACACATGCCACTTTGTCTCAGAAACAGGACTAGAGCTAGGTCTGGAGAGAGAAGTTTGGAAGGAACTTGCTCCAAGCCCAAATGGAATCCCAGCATAAATGAAATGGACTGGCTTCTCTCCATCAAGAGTGGCCAGAAGCTGTGGAAGTACCAGAACCTCAGAGCTCCCTGGTCAAGTCTCCCCACAGTGGCCGTGACGCAGGCAAAGGGGGTGTGGGGACAGGCTCTGGGCATTCACAGTGGCGGAGAGCCCCCCCCCCCCCCCCCCGGCTTTTGTCCCTTTCAGTAAGTTCCCACTTCAACCTCAGGCGCTGGTGCTGGGGTGTGACTCACCCTCCCCTCCCAGGCCCGTCTGTGGCTAAGGTGGTCCTTTTCCTAGTGCTCCCTTCCCGTCTGAGTGTCAGGGGATCAGGACGAACAAGCAGTCAGGCCCCCCAGGAGGTTAGAGTCGCCTGCTTCCTGGTTTCACCACTGAATCCCCCTTCCTCAGCCCTCCCGTCAGCTCCAGGCCCCAGATCTCCGTCCCACCTGACTCTCCGTGCCTGTTGACACGCCTGAGACAGAAGGCAAAGCCGCTGGAGACACCCCTGCCCCCATGTTCTGAGATGACCTCCAGCAGCAAGGCCTTCCCGGAGCCTCCGAGACCCTGAGGAAGCTGAGCTGGGACCCTTTCGTTCCATTGGAAGGCCCAGCCCTGAGGTTCAAGAGCCCCAAATGGAAGCCAGGCAGGTTTCCTCTCCACCTGGACTTTTCTTACAGCACTTTTTGGGCAGCCTTCAGGCACGTTCACAAACTCACGCTAAAGCTGGCGCTGCAGCACGAACTCCAGGACTTACCGTTACTGGGACCGATGAAGGGCGGCGCTTGAGGGACTGTGTGGCCCCAACACCTCAGGCTCTTTTGCTCCATTGCTGCCCAGTGACCCAGACCCTGGAGAAGGGAACCTGGCACAGCCCCTTACCCACACCCCGACCTGATGGCTGACCTGGCAAACAGCACTTTTGCTACAACCCAACCCAGACAACACTGTCACCGAGGAAACAGCCCACTCGCCCTTTTCTCCAAAAGTGAAGTCCGGAAGTCCAGCTGCTCACTTGACAAGGGAGACCTATAACAAAGCCTTCCGTGCCACCTCAGGACAGCCGATCGCTGCTGAGGCACAGGCCCGGTCACACAGCTCACCCTGCACTGCACACTGCGGCTGCACCCCAACCAGGGAAGATGGGATTCAGGAGGCTCGTCCGGGGCCCCACCCTCTGAACCTCATCCATCCTTAGTGCACGGGCTTCTGAACAACACTGCACACAGTGGTTCTCAACCTTCCTAATGCCGCGACCCTTTAATACAGTTCCTCATGTTGTGGTGACCCCCAACCATAAAATTATTTTCGTTGCTACTTCATAACTGTAATGTTGCTACTGTTATGAATCGTCATGTAAATATCTGATATGCAGGATGTATTTTCAGGGGTCGCGACCCACAGGTTGAGAACCGCTGACTTAGAAGGTCAGTCTGCTCAAATCACAAATGTGCACGCTATTTGCTGTCCAGTGATGAAGACTCTACTTGGACACATTTAATCAGCATTTTCACAAGCATTTAGTCTTAACTAAATATTTTCAACAGGAAATTCTAGAATTATACTGTATGAGCCCCAAGAATTTGGAGAACACTACACACCCTTAACCCAGGAACGTGGCTGCCAGAACGCGGTGTGCCACGGCCAGGCTGCCAAGTCCAGGCAGGCCCATCTGTGCATCGTTACACACTGGGTGCTTAGCCCAGCCGGACACAGTCCACGCTCCATAAATACTCGCGGAATTTGAATAAAGCCTGTAAAATTCTCACTTGGAGACATCAGTAGTGACACTTCTTGCTGCTTCTCTCCCAGAAGCTCCTGGTAGAACCCAGGTCTGGCAGCAGGGGGCACGCAGGCTGCTGCTCACACCTGAGAGGGATGACACAATCTCCTAAAGGGGTTGAACTCAGACCAGGCCTCAGAAGCTGAAGAGCCCTGCGCTCCCCATGGGGACCATGGCATTCCTGAGGTGCGTGGCAGTGGCCTCACACCTACTGACTTGACTCCTAAGAGAACTTTTCCTTCGCGGAGAGAAGCCTCCCACCGCTGTCCGTCCGTCTCGGGCAGTGCGCCCACCTGAGGCCATCTGGGGAAAGGGCTACAAAGCAGACAATCTTTATTCACAGCTGGGGTGGCAGAGGGGACACCCCGGGTCAGTCCAAAAGCAGACACTGGGAGGGAGAGCGCCTGGCTCAGCACTCGTCCTCACCCAGCATGGTGTAAGGGTTTCGAGAGGCCAGACTGGACCCTGGAACTGAGGTTGGGGTGTCCTCATCCCCTTCCCCCTCCTCATCCGCATCTCGGTCCTCCTCTCCCTCCTCCTCACAGGAGCTGCTCAGCTCTTCTTCCTCCTCCTCCTCTTCCTCCTCATCACCTGCTGGCCCCACCCTACCCTGCAAAACCACCAGCTCCGTGGTCTCTGGATGGGACTCCCAGGTGCCTGCGGAACCAGAACAAGAAAAAGAACAGAGGGGAGTTTTCAACAAGAGGCTAAAGCCAGAGGAAGATGGGGAAGAGGCAAAGACTAAGAATAACAAGAATTTTTGTAGCTGCTGGCATGCATGCATGCATCCATCCCACCTCCCATGTGCTGGGCACTGCACAGCTCTGCGCACATTAACTCCAGTTTTGGGCACCACCTTGCTGGGGGCAACTGACACCCAGGTTCTGCAGATGAGAGAACGGCCTCAGAGACAGTCACGCAGAGCTGGCCGACAGGTGCAGACCCAGGTGTGCCCGGCCGAGTGCCACCAGCCCCCATTGCCTACACTACAGCAGGTGGGGGGTACACTGGCAGCGACCTTTCTGCTCCAGGTAGCCCGGCGGGTGGAAGCACAGGCTGAGGCGGCCGTCCAGCGCCAGCCTCAGGAGACTGTTGGCCGCTCTGTACACATCGTTCCGCGCCGCCTTAGCTGTCTTGTAGCCACGTTTCTCTGCCCAGGCTAAAGGGAGAAAAGAATGGTGGGAGGGAAGCTCATGAACCCCACTGCCTAACACATCTTTCCAGTTTTCCCAGAATATGCCAGGTCAGAGATCTGGCTGCCCCTGTGACAGAAATCTGGGGTGGCCAGGAGCTGAGTGAATGGCAGAACCTCTGAGGAGAGGAGTGGGGACAGGGCAGGGCAAAAGGCCAGGGAAGGAGCCAGGTCCCCAGAACCCACCTTCACAGATGTCCCAGGCACACCAGGGGTGCTCGGCCACGGGGTCCTCAGCCTCCGGGTGGCGCAGGTGGAGCAGGGCCTGCACGGGGACCCGGGCGGCCAGGTAGCCCACAGCAGTGTAGGGCTCCTGGATCTGGGCGATGGGGTAGATCCCTGCCAGAACCTGCGGAGCACGAGCCTCAGCACCAGCCTGGATCACCCGCCTCCCGCTGCCCCCTCTGCCCACGTACCTGCAGCTGCCTGGGCAGAAGGGAGGGGAAGATGAGGCCCGGGCAGTCACAGAGCTTCACGGAGGGGGTCAGAAAGTAGGTCTGAAAGTACCGCGTGTGGCCCGGGGTTCTGGAGACGCTCACGACCTTCCGCCCTACCAGCCCGTTGATCAGTGAGGACTTTCCCACGTTGGGGAACCCTGAGGAAAGCAAGGCAAGGTAGCACCTGGCAGCTCCTTCCCCTGGGGGGAGGTGGGCGCTGCATGGGGAGCTGAAAGGGATAGGCTCAGGCAGGAAGGGAGCCACTAGGGCTGTGGGGCCGATCCCGCCCTCCACTCCCTGGCTTTGTGACCTCAAGGCTATTCACTCAACCTTGTCCCCTCATTCTACAGCACAGACACCTCCCCCTCAGAGCAGCCACGAGAACAAGCACGACCGCGCTGGGCGCTGCGCTGGCCGGATCGCCTCCTCCCAGAAGCCTGCAGTGGCCCCCCAGGACCTGCACAGCCCTGCTCGGCATGCTGGCCTCAGTGCACATGTCCCTTCCGAAGGCTGTTTCCTACACCCCACCTCAGCCCCAACCCCGTGGCCACAGCCTGGAGCCGGTCACTTCAAGTTCTCAGCGGCCAGCCCTCCTCTCCGACCTGACCCCATCTTTCCAGGTCACCCATCCTGACTCCTCCATCTCATTCCTCACGTCCTCTTCCCCAACTCCGACTCTAGGATCCCACTCACAGCCTGTCCCTGTCCAGACCCTGAACTCCCTGGTCCGCTCTCCCCTCCACCTTACTCACCTGGCAAAACCCCAATCCTGTCAAATGCACTGTCCACTCAGCACCTGCTGCTGGCAGCTGCGCCACCTCCACCAGCAGGCGCTCCTTTCCACGGGAGGGAGGCACAAACCACCCTCCGCTGGCAGCACCCACAGCCATTTCTCTGCCCCTTTATAGTGAAACTCCTTCAAAGACTGGTCTCCTTTGGTCACCACCTCCTCATGCCGTCCTCCTCATGACTATAAACTGTAACACGCACTCCCCTCCCTTATCTCTCTCTCTCTCTCCCCCCTGAGCTCCAAGGCCCTTCGTTTGCTTCTGTAACTTGTTTCCTGAGCCCATTTCTTCCATGGCTCCCTCCTCCTACCTCTGTGACTTTCTAGGTAAACTTCCTCTTATACTTTGAAAAAAACTCTAACAGCCCTAGCTGGTTTGGCTCAGTGAATAGTGTTGGCCTGTGGACTGAGGGTCCTGGGTTTGATTCTGGTCAAGGGCACACGCCCAGGTTGTGGGCTTGATCCCCACTAGGAGGTGTGCGGGGAGCAGCCAATCAATGATTCTCTCATCATTGATGTTTCTATATCTCTCTCCCCTCTGCCTCTTTGAAATCAAAAAAATATATATTTTTTAAAAAGGAAAGAAAAACTGTTACACAAAAATGTGTACAATATACATGTGCCAGAGACCCCTCACCCTGCTGGCCCAGAGTGTGACGCTCCCCCCGCAGCCCCAGCCCCTCCTGATCACAGCCCTCCGCCCTGCGTGAGCCTGACCCTGCGCTGGAAGGGACTCCCTGCCTACACTTCCTTTCAGTGTTATGACCCATGTATCCCTGAACCATGCAGCTCAATTTCAGCTTTTCAACTTGACACGAATGGACGTCTGAACGTGAAGACTGTCTGGCTCCTGGCTCTCAGCACTGTCAGGCTCCGCCATGCCACTGTTCCTTCTCCCGCCGGCCGCCCAGCCGGGCTCTCTCTCCTCCCCTCACAGAAACCACTCGTTCACATGCCAGGTCGCTGAGCAGGTCTCTGCTCTCCGCTCACTTGACTTAGCAACACATGGCACAGCGAGCCCTCCTTTCCTCTCCAACACATGGCTCATTTGGCATGGGGGCTCCCTGCTCCTCCTCTGCCCACCTCTGCACCTACCACTTCTCCCACATCTCCCCCCACCAAGGACTCTACGTACCAGGCATACCCACCTCTGGCTCCCAACTTAAATCTCCCCCAAATTCAAATCTCGTCCTCTTCCCTAGACGGCAGGCTCATATACCCACTACCTATTCAATATCTCCACTAGGGACATATGTTTTTAATCTCAAAATTAATGTCTGAATCCCCTTCCCTCTGCAGCCCCTCCAGTCTGTTCCTCTCCCATCTTCCTGTCTCAGTATTCCCGAGGGCACAGTACACCACCTGGAGCCCACCTCTGCGGCCTGCTGCCTGCCCACACTTACAATCCAGGCAGCTCCTGGGCACAGCCCGCTGGCTTCTCATCAGACGGGAATAAACCCAAATGCCTTCTTAGCTACAGTCCTTCAGGTGTGGCCCACCTTCCTGGCTTCACTGCTCGTCCCCTCGCTGGCCCCAAGTCAGCAAGCTCATTCCCACCGCAGGCCCTCTCGCTCGCTCGCTCGCTCGCAGCCTGGAAGGCCCCTCCCACTCCACAGCCGCTCCTCCATCAGCCTGGGCTCTCAGTCTCTCGGGGACCTCCTCTTTAAGTCGCTCTCTATCCTTTTTATTGTCCCTAAATAACATCTTTTCAGATGCCTGCTCGATGGATTCACCAGAAACAAGCTCCGTGAAGGCAGGGGCGTTTCTGCCATTTCCATGCAGCACCCCCTGCGCCAGCACCTGGCACCTCCCGCTCAGGAGCGGACGAATGAACGGAGCTGAAGGGAATCCAAACTCAGGGCTGCCTGTGTCCCAGCAGCTGCTCGCCCTGCCACCCCCCACACAGGCAAGTCCGTGCCCAGGCCCGAGAGAGGGCACAGGGCCTCCTGGGGGAAGCCAGGCAGTCAGCAGTGGGGAGGCTTCCCTAAGACAAACCAGAGACTGACAGGAAGGCGGGGGCACTGCAAGAGCCAACCACTGGGCCACCCCTGACTTCTAGGCCGGGCCCTTTTGGTTCCAGTACCACGACTTTGCCAAAGTCACCTCTCCCCTCTCCCACCAGAATTAAAGGGCCCTGCGCCTACTCGGACACTCCGCTGTCCCCACCACGGGCAGACAAATCTCTGCAGTACGGGGAGTCTCCCTGACAACAGACCTCGCGGGTTAAGACGCAGGAAGGAACCAACATTTGCTAAGCTCTTACTACGGACTAGTTAACTACGACTGAAACAGGTCACACACATAAGTCACTCAGAACAGTGCCAGGCAGGCAGTGAGACCGGACACATGCTACAGTTTAACAATTATTCTTATCGTCACCATCTGTCAGGCTTTGTCAGGCTCTCTGTCCTCCTCCCTGCACTCCTCCCATCCATTCTGGCTCGGGTATTGCTGTCATCATTTGAAAAACCAAAGCCCCTGAGACTCAGGGTGAGTGAGTACTTGCTTGACACCTGTAGCCACTGAGGAGGTGGAACTTCACGCCGGCGGCGTCCTGAGACCCGGGAGCCCAGGGACCCGATCGCTTCCCTCCTTCCCAAGTGTCCAGCCCACCCTGTGCGACCACCACTTCCTCACCCACACAGCCGATGGTCACCACCCCGTCCTTGTAGCGCTCTTGGGTGGGGCCGGCTGGCTCCATTGCCGAGTCAGTCTGCTGCTCCACCAGGACCGCGGGCCCGTCATCCTCTTCCTCATCTTCCCCCGAGGCACTGCCCCAGGCGGCCCCAGCCACATCGCGGGCAATCTTTTCCCGCCAGCTGCTCAAGTCCACTGCTCAGGAAGAAGACGGAGAGGGCTCTCCCTAGGGCCGCGTCCACACAGCCGGGAACTGATGCCCTCGAGCTGGACAGGGACGGGCTGCACAGTCCGGCTCTCCCCAGCCTCCACTGACCCCCCTGGAGTCACATGCATCCCTCAGTCCAGTTTCCTGGAAGTCCTGGGAAGCCCGAAGGCAGCGGCTTCTCCTGCCTACCTGCTGCCTCTCTAGTCCCAACAAGTCACTCTCCATCCCTCCCGGGCCTCGCCCATGTCCACAATACAGGGCTGGCTTCAGGGAAGGCGAGCAAAGTGACTCGGGGCCTGGGGTCTCACCAACCTTTCCCCGCAGTGATGGCTTCACAGGCTCTCAGCAGCTGCTCCGGCCCCAGGGCCCGAGCCCATCCTCTCCCCCGCCTCCGACTCTTCTTCAACACTGCGATCCAAGGGTACAAAAGGGTGGGCACATCGCACCTCTGCCAGCATCCTCAGGTCCAAAATCAGGTACCCCCTTGTCAACAAGCTCCGTTCTCCTCTTTGTCCCCTGCCACCCCACCTCCCCTGCTGCCCTCCTCACTGCCCACTCACCGCCACTATGGTCCTGTGGGATGCGAGGGTCCCGAGGGAAAGAGGTGAAAAGGACGATGTGGAGCTGGGGAAAGTGTTGGTGGAAATAATGCTTCCAGGCAACCACGAGAGCCGGCGGGGCCAGATCCACCTTGTTCAGCACCAGCACCAGGGCCAGCCCAAGCTCTCCAGTCACATACTCGTACAGTGCTGGCGGGAAATTCACAACCTGGGACAGGGTTGATAAGAGGATGAGGTTGGTAAGAGGATGAGCAATGCGAGGTCAACCCAAAGTTCTCTGCCTCTAGCAGACACAGCTTGAGACAAGACCCTGGTGGTAGCGGATTCTGGGACAAAGAGTAAACCAGCCAAACCGAACTATAGAGACAAATCAGGGGTTAAGTCTGCCCGTGCACTTGTGTGGGAGCGTGCACAGGCTGCTACGGACCTCCACCCACAGTTCCCTCCCGGGCCTCCCTCTCCCACTGCAGGACCACAGGTTCACACAGCCGTCCAGCAGCGTTGAGGGGCTTAGCCACCACCCAGCATTCCAGGTGAGTCCTGCGCTCACTGAGGGGCAGGGCACGGGAGCCCCCAGTTGCCTCATGACATCCCGGGGTCTCCACTCTGGGACTTTCTATTGGTTTAGTTCTGCTGGGCTGGGAAACAGGATATACAGTTTTCTATCACGGGGTGATGGAGAGGAGTCAGTTGGCCAGGGGAGAAGGGACAGGCTGTGGCCCTGGTGAATAAAGAACCGAGTCTCTGACTACAGACATCAGCACAAGGCAGGAGCCTGCAGAGGAAGGAGGAGGCCTGTCTCCCAGCTCCTGCCTCTGCCCTGGCCCCAGGAGATCTTCCTCCCTCCTCCCGCTGGCCCAGCGCATCCCCGTGCTCACTGGATGCCGGACATCGGTGATGAGCAGGACGATGTCAGACATCTCCAACACTCGCCACAGCTGCCTCCACGTCTGGAAAGAGCAAGTCGGTGTTAAAGAATCGGAGCCTGGAGCCCCTTTCCTGCTCGACGCCTGACCATTTACCCTGAGTCACCATGCCCACTCCTGTCCCCCTCCATTCACACCTCCAGATTGTGCTCAAAGTAGCTGAGCTTCTCTGAGGTGTAAGCCCCATGAATCTTCCCAAGATACTCCTGGAAGCTCCGTTCCTCCTGGCTCATTAGCTGCTCCTTGGACATCTCATAGCGCCAAGGGGGGCGCCGGGGGAAGTCCAGCACTGCAAAACCAAGCAACGCCCAGCGAGTGTGAGGAGTTCCAGGTGCACCCCAGACCCTCCTTCCTCAGTCAGCTCCGCCTCCTCACACTCCCCCAGCCCAGGGCCGGTCCCCAACAGCGTGCTGAGCTCCCCTCACCGGAACCGGGCTGGTAGACCTCCTGGATGTCCAGCTCCAGCATCTCGGCGCTGACGGGCTGTAGCACTTGCTCCCGGGCCGCTCTCTTTCTCTTCTCCACCTCCTCCCGGCTGTCTCGTTCAAAATGCAGTCGGTATCTGCGCGACAGGGACATGGCACCCACTGCAACCCTGTGGTCACAAACTCCACTCCAGTGCAGACGCCTTCGCCAAGCTCTCCCCAGGCCCGTTGGCCTCCTCCCCGAGTGGGCCCTCCCCAGGCCCCTTTCACGCAATATCCTCACCTTTCTAAAAGCCCGCCTCTTTCCAGCCCTCCGAAGGGAACGTCGGCCCGGGAGAAGGGGCACCCCAGCCCCACCACCTCGATTCCAGGCCCTGACTTCCGGTCGGTGGGGCAGGCCCGCTCACCGATTTGGGTCAAAGCCTCGCGGGCCCAGCCCCTGGGGAGGCTGCTGGTTGAGCCTACGGATCTGCTGGGTCACGGACTCGCCGTCCGAAGTGTCGGTCTGCTCCTCGCGCCGCTCCCGGCTGCCGCTGCGGCTGTTGGAGCTGGACCGCAGCCCATCTTGAAGGCCGTGGTTGAGCCTGCTGGGTCACGGACTCGCCGTCCGAAGTGTCGGTCTGCTCCTCGCGCCGCTCCCGGCTGCCGCTGCGGCGCTGCGGCTGGGACCGCAGCC